AAAATACGATAAGGACTGCGATGGGAACAGTAGTGAGAGTGTTTTATTTCATGACTTATGTGACTGCTAGGTTTCTGGTAAAGAGCACTATCAAAAATCACTTGATAATGGTCGCATTTGGCGGAGTATTCGCATGGCTTTGTTATGATCATCGCATATTAGCTACAGTAGTACGTTGCCCATGGTTACAAGATGAAACAGTGACATTTGAAAGAAGGATATATTGGAATTAGGTCGCCAAACTACACTCGATGCGCACACTGGCAGCCTTGTTCAAGAACAGTTGGATATACGTAACCCGTATGCAGCCTCGTTCCAGACATGTATTATTGGTTGAATGGAAATTACAGAAAATTCCTCTATAGAGTTCACTGAAAAGCAGGAGAAACCCTATTACATGAATGGCGCATTTCTGTTGTCAGAACTCTTTGTGAATACCGTAACATGATTGGAGGACACGTAATATGACGTATGCGCATACTGTTTATCAGTTGGTGTTCCACTGTGTGCCAAAATAATAATTAATAAATATAGTTAGATATTTGTGTATTAATTTTGATATAAAAAAGAGGTTGCAATATCATCAGCCTATGCTCTCAGAATTTCTGTACATGTGTTACATCATGTGATTTGTCTATGTTGCATTGCGTGCGGCGAGACTCATAACAAGATCAAGGATTGACAACAATCGCCTGACTTTGATTTACAGAGCATGACAATATCCTGCGCTTGATTCGTAGGTTCCGGAAATACTTTGACAAGAGTCAAGCCTGATAAGTCTCGAAACTATCACTTATGATACAGAAAATCTCCTGGTTTCGCTACAGTGGGATTATGAGCTTACAGCGAGTTGTGCGTCACAGACATGATCACTTTATAAGTTAGTATCATAGTCTAAATGAACACATATCTTTCCTTATGAGGATTTTTTTTATATATTATAAGTTTGTACATTTTCATAATAAATAAATACAGAGTCGCTAATTCGGCTTCTAAATTGACACAATAAATTACTACTAGAAAATTGAAACAATATGTTATGTTAGAGAAGTGTTTTGCAATCGTCAACTTCAGCTGGATTGTTATGCGACAAATTGTAAGATTACTGTATTACTTGGAGCGCAAATACATCACCCCATTGAGCTTATTATTACTGTGAATTCAAAGTGGATCCGTTGTTTATTATGTAGAATAATATTTACTTTTCAATAAAAATGCAATTATTTGTACGTAGCGCTTTCGGACATTATAACTACTCGTATGCATACTGAATATTCCTAGAATGAGAAGAGCGACATGTTTCTGCCTCTTTCCCTGGCTGAACACATCCATGATCGTTACTTCTTCCTATGCAGAATATTGAGTTGTTGGTGGGTAGTTTTAAACAGGGGTATTTGCTGCTTGCTTGTTTGAAAATGACTCCTTAAGTTGTTGGATATTTGCCAATGTCTTAGTTAGATATCGTGATACGATATGTTGAAAACAGTTGTATCCTGTAAACACATATTCCTTGGTGAGTTAAAGTTAGTGAAATATTAGTATTAATATCATCACGGAATTCTTCAAGGGAACGACAAAGTAAACAAGTCTAGTATTTGAATGACCTAATTGGCAACAGCTAATGTTCAATGGCAGGTTATGTCAACTTATTTACTTTTGAAATAACCTCTAATGTTTTACATAATTGGACGTTTTCGTGACTGATTATATCAAACATATTGGTACTAAAATCATGCAACTCTACTCTTGAAAACATTTAAATAAAAAAAGAAAATCACTCGAGAATGAAAAAACACGGAAATAACAAATTTCGGTTAAGCTAGGTGGTCGAGGGGAAACCTCCACACTACAGAGACACTATCAAATAACATTTACTCTTAATGTGTGTCACATGTGTATAATTTGAAATATTTCATCGCATTGATCGATCGTGTTTCCGAATAAATAGATTTAAACGTACCTTGAATCAATACAAAGATACACAAAGAAAATCTTTTTGCATTTGGTGGTGGATCAATATATCTGCGGGTTTGTACTAATGTATACGGGATCGTCGAACTAACAATATATCCATCAATTAATTCATCCATCAAGGTAACGCCATCATGTTTATCATGGCGTTAAAGTGAACAAGCAATTTTCGCGGTCGGCTCCCATACGGCAGTACTAAGGATCTGTTTCTGTACATAGTTTCGCCGATGAGCTTCATTTACCGTATTCTCGTGCTTGTGCACGCTGTACCTGTATAAGAGCCCTCTCATTTGCATTTTGAATAATATGTATTTTACCTTGAGCTAAACTAAGGTTTTGTATTTAGAAAATTGTGGCCATTTTGTCTTTTAAAGAACTATTTGTAATTTTGTACTATCTACTACTTGTGTACGACTGACATGTAATATTTTGTGATCAAAAAAAAACTTGATTTTCTATGTAAATATCCTAACACTTTCCAGAAATACAGTGTGTATCACAGCACTGTGGAATGGACATCCAAATAGGCAGTAATACGTCAATTTAAATATTACTTTAAATAAATTAGCAGCAATATTTTGAACACTATGAGAACTGCATAAGGTTATCTGTTTAATAAATACACATTCATCGCAATATACACACTATTCGTCTTGTTATTGCTACTACCACGGCTGACTGTGTTAGAGATATTACCCCCCCCCCCATCATTCTGATCTACTTTGCGACTTTGTAAATTAATAACTACAACAATTCATTATTAAAATACAACAATAATATTATCAAAATGGCATCTTATCATGTTTTGTCACTTTCCTTTGATATTTCATCACATAATTCCGGCATGTTTTCAATCTCTTTTGTATCCATCGTCACACACCAACGCGGACAACTGCAAATGATCAGGAGTGTATTTATAATTGACGAAAATGTCCGCTATTAACCCAATATGACGTCATAAGTGTATTTATTCTGGTATTATTTGTGGTATATAGGCGCCTGTCACAACACGCGGAATGTATTGAGCAGTAACGCATGCGTTCTCTCGCAACAAGAACACACACTACGTGAAATGACCTAAATATCACAGTGACAGGTATGTACTGATGCAAACAGGATATATACGTAGCGAAAACATCGATACATTTGACGTATCAGGGTTAGCTGAAGTTAATTATCTACATATACTGAAATATATATCGTTTAATATGGTGAACAAATTAAAGTATATTTTATGTTTTGGCATGTGCGTTTAGTGAATGTGCATGAATGGATGGTTGGAATAGTCTATTTTTAGAACTGCTGGCAATCTGTATGTCATCTCAATTCACTTTTAATCTAGTATTGACATTCAATTTATATATTTATTGTTTTAAGTAAAACGAGTATAACTTTTATTTAATACTAGATCGTCTACATTTGCGGTGTTTGGGGGAAGTACAAAATAGTATATATTGTGCATGGTTTCATGCGTAATGAGATTTCCACAACACGCGGTAACATAACTTTACATACGTGAAAACAAGATACAGTTTCCT